GAGAAATGGGATGTACAGTCCCATCCCTCCCATTCGTACCTTGCACGACCAGCTTGGCTCTGGACTGGGCGTCACCAATGTCACAGCTGTAAGTGTCACTGTCGCTTTTCTCCAGGTTCTTTATGGTCAGCTGGAGGTCTTGTCCCTTCTGTGTGATCTCGTATTTCCTGCCGGCCCTGAGCTCGGCGATGCCTTTCCTCCAGACCACGGAGGATGCAGCTCTCTCGCTCTGGCATGTGAAAACTGCGGTCCCACTCTCGTCGACCTTCAGGTCTGAAAGCTCCTTGACAAAATAATTAGGTTTTTCTGGAAAGAAAAAAACAAATCAGAAAAAAAATAAAAAAAAAATGAGAGACAGAGACTGGTTTGTTACCCAAACTAGTCCTAAGCATGCAGGGTGGTCTTGGATTCCCAACTGCCCCCATTTGGAGAATTACAGAATAAAGAATCATAGAAACATTTAGTTTTAAATAGACTCTTAAGGTCATCAAGTCCAACCATTAACTTAACTCTACCAAGTCCACCACTAACCCACATCCCCAGGTGTCACATCTACACATCTTTTAAATTCCTCCAGGGATTGTGACTCCACAATTCTCCTGTTTTAATGCCTGACCTCCTGTTTTAATGCTAATACCCTCCTTTCCACGAAGAAATTTTTCCTAGTATCTAATCTAAGCCTCCTCCAGTGCAACTTGAGGCCATTTCCTCTCATCCTATCAGATGGAATGGATCCAAGAAGATCACCAGGTCAACATCCTGTCACAGGACAGATCAGGTAAAATATCTCCAGCAAAGCTTAATGCCATTGTCCAGGCACTAGTGAGGTCTCATGTTACAGAACATGCACAGTTTTCATGTCCCTTGTTCACAACAGACTAATTAAAATTGCTTTTTCTCTTCGGGTCATTACACAGCACACAAGATTCTTCAGTACCTACAAAGGTGTTTTTTTCATACCTAATTTTTTTTTTAAGCTTTTAACCAATAGTGTTTTTTGAAAACAGAAAATTGATCCTGTTTGGGGAGACAGAAGAGAAGAACACTTCCAGCGGGTTGTAGATATTTACCCCAACCTCTGTCCCTGCCAGCCCCTCTTCACTCTTCGACTGACCTTGCACTGTGATCCTGGCTGTTGTTTTGGAGCTCTCTGTCTCACAGGTGTATTCCCCACTGTCCTTGACCGTGGAGTCATGGATGATCAGGATGGCCCGTGTTCCCTCTTGCTGCAAGTCGTATTTCTGGCTTTTTCGGATTGCTTTGCCATCCTTGTACCACCTGATGTTCACATCAGGTTTGGACAGTTCACAGCTCAGGTTGATGTCCTGCCCTGCTTGTGATGTTTTATCCTCCAGCTGTTTTGTAACCTCAGTTGGTTTCTCTGGAGAGGAAAAATTAAAAAAAAGGACATTTGAGTGAAAATCATTATCACTATACGGTTGAGGTTTTTGCAATTCAAATTATGGGATCACAGAATGGTTTAGGTTGGAAGGGACCTTAAAGATCATCTTGTTCCACCCCTGCAGGGACACCTTACACTAGGTCAGGTTGCTCAAAGCCCCTCCCTGGCACAGGTTGCCCAGAGAAGCTGTGGCTGCCCCATCCCTGGAAGTGTCTAAGGCCAGGTTGGACAGGGCTTGGAGCAACCTGGGCTAGTGGAAGGTGTCCCTGCCCATGGCGTGGGGGTGGAACTGGATGATCTTTAACGTCCCTTCCAACCCAAACCATTCTGGGATTCTCTGATTCTATGAAAAAGGACTAATTGCAGGTTATGAACTATGTCTGAAAACCACCTATTTCTTCTCTCCATTGACCACCCAGGGACCCTTGGGTGATTATCTCTCTGGAAGATAGTCTGGCTTGTAATTACCTGTACACACTACCCAGCATAGCCAGTTCTCAAATATCTATTAAAAGTTTCAGCCTTCCTCTTGCTTTTAAGGAAAAATCTCCTTTCTTCAAGGCTCGCGGGGAAGGTTATTATTTACCTGGATCACAACAAGTGCTTGCTGACAAACCCTATGAAAATACACCCAGGAAATCAACCCCCAGTACCCTTCTGACCTCGTTACCTTTCACAGCCAGAGAAGCCTTGGAGGTCAGACCTCGGGCAGTGAACACGACCTCCCCGGCATCGTCGGGAGTCACCCTTTGGATGCTGAGGGTGTATTTCCGACCCGCGTTGGAGGCTTTAAACCTCCCCCCACTCTCCACTTTTCTCCCGTTCAGCGTCCAGCTGAAGTCATCGATGCTCTCGTGGGACAAAATGCACTCAAAGGTGCAGTCCTCTCCCAGCTGGATTTCGGTGTTCTTCAGCCGTTTGGTGATGCCAATGTTCAGTTCTGGAGGATGAGAAGCAGGTCAAGACACAAGGGAAAAAAGGGGTTTTGATAGTTTTGAGTAGTGATGTTTTTAACTCTTAATAAGAGTGGTTTAGCTGCTGGATTGGCAGGACAACACTGCATTCCTTACAGGTGTCTGTGACGTGGGAAGGATTTCTCGGCTGTTATCCACCCAGAATCAGCACAAAGTTACAGAAAAAGGGAAATGTGAATCTCGTGGCTCTGCTATGAAAGGACTGAATGAAGAACAGCTCACTCAGTGGGGAAGAATCAAGATTCAATGCGGTGCAAAGAAGAAAAGATGTCAGAAAAGAAGCCTCTGGGATGATGTGTGAGCTTCTTCTCCACGCTCATATGAGAAGTGAAACGTTTGGATTTTTTAACTTGTTACTCCTTGTGTTCAAATCAGACAAACTCGAAATTTTTCTTATTATCATTGTGAGTTTGGAGGCCACGAACACAAGAGGGCAGGATGAACTGCTGGGTTCTTCAGTAGACCATGTTGTCCCACTTTTATGTTCCCGCAATGGACTTTGAATTAAAATAAGAAACACAGGCTGCTTGGGGGGGAGTTTGTTGATTTTTTTGTTGTTAGTTGGGATTTTTTTCTGAGAAATCATTCCCTCTTCTGGGAAGATTTCTGCACCTTATGGATGTTCAAGAAGGAAACATTGTCACTATATTCTTGACACTTGATTTTCACAGAAACATCAGATATGCTTAAATCAACGAGTAGCAGGGATTGTTCAAACATTGCAATGTTATGTGAGGATTAGGCAGGAGAAGATGTGAGACCAAATTACCAGTCCCACCCATATTTCCAGCCCCCCTTGACTGGCCATTGTCTACAATACTTACCCTGAACGCTGACCTTTGACTTGGCAACATCAGTGCCAATGTCACAGGTGTATAAACCTGCATCTGTCTTTTCAAGGTCATGGATAAGGAGGCACAGGGTCTTCCCAGACTGTATCTCCTCGTACTTGTTACTAGAAGGGATCTTCACACCATCCTTTTTCCAAACAGGTTTGACCTTCTCTTTGGAGACTTCGCATTCCAGTTTAATCACACCTCGCTCCTCACCAAAAACGTCATCCAAGGCTTTCATGAAGACAGCAGGTTTCTCTGAAGGTTAAACAGGAAAAACAGAGAACAACCAGGATATCTAAGTTGAAACACTTTCAGTCGTCGTCAAATATTGAAAGACAGATTAAGTAATGGCAATGCTGCTGACACCAAAGCAGAACCTAAGGCAGTGTCATCCACCAGCACCCCCGAGTCCTTCTGAGCAGGGCTGCTCTCAATCCCTTCATTCCACAGCCTGGATTCACACAGAGGCTGCTCTGGCTCAGGTGCAGCATTTTGCACGTGGCCTTGTTGAACCTCCAGAGGTTCATATGGGCCTATTCTCGAGCTTGGCCAGGTCCCTGTTGATGGTATCCCAACCCCACCACTCATCTTAGTGTCAAACTTGATGAGGCTGCAAAAGAACATGTTAAACCACAGAAACTCAGCTGTGTGACTGAACTTTAGGACATATGAAGGACAGCAGCAAAGTCTCTTCTCTTTGCTGATTCAGTTCAGTTCCAGAAATGATGTGTTAAAAGGCAGAGAATCAGAGAATATCCTGAGATGGAAGGGACCCACAAGGATCATTGAGTCCAACTCCTGGCCCTGCACAGGACACTCCAACAATCCCACCATGTGCCTAAGGCCATTGTCCAAATGCTTCTTGAACTCAGACAGGCTTGGGGCTGTGACCACTGCCCTGGGGAGCCTGTTCCAGTGCTCAGCCACCCTCTGGGTGAAAAACTTCTTCCTGATATCCAAGCCTAAACCTCCCCCAACTCAGCATGCCCTACCCTTGGGGGTACACCAAACCTCAGGTCCCTGCAGCCATAAATCTTTGGAAACAACAATTTATCAACTATATAGTATTGAAGAGACCTACAAGTACAGAAGATATGATAAAGGATGATAAAGATCTATGGAAAATTTTGGCAGGACATCAAAACAATTTTCCTTAGAAAAATCACCAACCACGAGAGAAATTCACACCGGAAGAAAACCCCTCCATGCCTTTCACTCAGCCCTGGAGGGACGAAGCTTTTAAGCAGGATTGCTGCGTGGATATGGCAAATAATATCTCACTGGCATCTCTTATTTGCACTCGGGAGGAATGTGATCATGACCCACCTATGACCTTCAGCCTCACGCTCTCTGACACCTTGTCTGACTTCATTGTCACCGTGCCAGCGTCCTCAGGCTTCACCTGCTTCATGGTCAGCGTGTAGACCTTGCCGACGTTCTTGATGTCGTTGAAGTTGTTGGTGTAGAGGAGGGTGCCGTTGAGGAACCACTCCACGTCCTCGTCGTCGTGGGACAGCTCGCAGGAGAACACGGCAGAGCTGTCTTCCTCGATTTCCACGTCCTGCAGGTGTTTGAGGACTTCCACGTTCCGGGCTGCGGGAGACCAAGGGGCACCATCACCACCATTATCATAAATCAGCTGTTACCACTGACAATTTCATACTGTTTAGGGTTTATCAGATGATTTAGTCTGGTCTCCTTCACACTGTGGATCACCTCATTTCATCTGCTTGGTTCTGCATTTGCTCCAACAAAAAAAAAAAAATCCATTAAAAAGACTATATTGTCTAGAACCTTCAGTTCTCTTTTTATACATAAATCAGGTTTGGTTTTTTTTTTCCTTTCCCTTTTTAATTTAAAAATAAGTCATTCTTTCTAAAATGATGTCACGGAGATGTCTAAGTATCCCACAGAGCTCCAGCCCCTGAGTTCTAGTCACTGCACACATACAAACATGTTATGATCAAATTGTCCTTGACTCTCTTCCAGTGAAACTTTGACACAGGACATGATGAAGGCAATGATTTTGGCCACAAAGGAAAAGTACAAAGAGATTAAGCAGCTTGCTCAGGTTTAAGAAGCAACGAGTTTGGTTCTTTTCTTTCCCAGTCCTTGGTCAGAGGTTTCTCTTTGCAGTTCCTCCGCTCAGGGAATGCTGTTTCTCAAGGATTAGACAACTCAGAGAAGGGGTTTGGAGTATTAAATAATTCTGTTGTTCAGATGGAATAGAACCATAAAATCATCAGGGTTGGAAAAGACCTGCAAGATCATCGAGTCCAACTGTTAATTCAGCACTGCCAAGGCCACCACTAAACCGTGTCCCCAGGTGTCACATCTTTTAAATGCCTCCAGGGACAGTGACTCCACCACTGCCCTGGGAAGCCCATTTCAGTGTTTGACAACACATTCAGTGAAGAACCTCTGCAAGGCCAAACTGCAAACAAGAGGTGCTCCCTGGGCTTTTAGAAATGATTCTGTGGCTCATCAACAAGTCTTGCCAAAAGTAGTGAACAGTTTTTCTTAGTTTCACCAGAGGGGAAGAACTGGCTAAACACAGTTCTACACCCAGATGAGGGAGGAGAACGTCATTATGAATAACAAATATATGCAGATATAAAATAGCAGCTATAAAATGTATCTGTTGCAGATATAAAAACGTATAGCAAATATAAAAGCTGACACAGTGGTCAGGAAATGAAAACCACAGCCAAGACCACCAGAATTAACGGCCTGTAGCAGTTTAACATAAAGAACATTTTTTTGTCAGGAGCACCAGAGGTCTAATTCCTCTGATGAAATAGAAAATAATGTGCCTTGACAAACACTAATTTCTACCTTACCCAGCTGGCGCTTTTCCACGTGCATCACCTACTTCATGGTAAGGGCTGGATTTCAGTATCATGGAATGTCAGTTCACCGAAGACATTGCATTTATATAGAATTATAAGATAAATGTGGGAATCCACCTCTCCTCAAGAAGAGGAACCCAGAGTGAAACAGTGAACCCTGAAGACATGCAACAGGCAAGCCCTGCTGCTGGAAACCTCTCGTACCTTCGACGGTGAGCGTGGCTCTGGTCTCTGCGTTCCCGGCCCGGCACTTGTACATTCCGGCATCTTCAGGCTTCACCTTCAAGATCTTGAGCTCTGCTGAGTATTGCTCCCGCTTGATCTTGTACTTCTCAGAGGGCTCGATGAGCACGTGGTCCTTGAACCACTTCACAATCTTTGGAGAGGGCCTGAAGTCACAGGACAGGACGGCCGAGTGTTTCTCCAGGACGGTCTTGTCCTCCAGCTTCCTGGTGATCTGTATGTGGTAATCTGCAGGGTTGGGAAAGAACAAAGGATCAGTCTGGAGAAAAAGGAGGTTTTTAATCTGTATTTCATGCTGATTAATCTCATGTATGATGTTCACAAGTGTTTTGCAAACCGCTCAAGTGTCTCATAGAGCTGATGTGCTTTGAAGCTACATCATCACAGTGATCTATAGATCCTACAAATTTCATTCTATAAGACAATATCACACATTAACCACCAAATTCATGGTCCACTTCTGGTTCAGTGCCCACAGAATTGCTCTCTAATTGAAGTTTTTACTCAAGTAAGAGCAAATTAAAGACAAAACAAGGACTTCAGGATGTGATTGGACATATTTGCCATGGTGACAGTGGAGGATAAAAAGCCTTGAAGCTTTGTCCTGGATCAAGTCAGTGACAACATGAATTAAGTAAATGAGCTATCAAACTTGTCTAGTTCAGAAATGGGACAAAATAAACTCTCCTGGCAAATTTCATCTGTTTTGTCCTCTTTGGTAAAGTCAAGAGGACAAAAATAAATCCCAAACCAGTTTTAGCATGATGGATTTTAATATCAGGTTTGAATACCAAGGACATCAAAGTCATTTAATCAGATCCCTTCCTAAGACATTGCTGGCTCATTTAGGGCATCCAACATTGCTCTCAGCGAATTACAATTGGGAACTAAGCAGATCTTCCAGGTACACACACACTTCCAAGAACCCAGTGGATACTGCACATTAGACAGCACGTATGACAAATTGCTTTCCAGGAGCTGTGAGAGGGAAGATCTTTGCTCTAATTCAAGCCAGGACATGTCATAATACCTCTGACAAGCAGGTTTGCTGTGGATTTTGATTTGCCAATGGAGAACTGGATGGTTCCTGTCATATCAGCACTTGTTTTCACTATTGTCAGCCTGTGGATGGTGCCTTCCTGCTGCATGATGAAGTTTCTGCCAGGCTGTAAAGCTTCTCCACGTAGAAACCACTTGGCGGGTTTCACGGATGGAATGGATGTCTCACATTCAAAATTGGCTTCTTCAGGCTCAGTCACGTCCTCATCACACAACTCCTTCACGATATTAATGGCTTGCTCTGCATGGAACGAGAGAGCAGAGATTTAGGAGTCATGAAAACTTTTCCATTATCAACCTGAACACTGACGCCGTCTTTCCTCCTCTTCAACACTGAACTTATTATCTCAAAAGGCCTTAAAATATCCTTTTATATATATAAAACCAGTTATATATATATATAGATATAGTTACATAAAAACAACTATATCTATCTGGTCACAGGCCAGACAGTGAGATTGCAACCACTGCCTCAAGAATCCATACCTCCTGATTCCCAGCCCTGTTTCTAAAGCCACCTTTCTATCCTGGTATCAAACTTGTGGCACTACAAAATGTAAAAAAAAAAAAAGGTTCATTGAAATGCAGATGTCAATATAAGGAACTGCATCGTTTTTCTGAAAAAACAGCTTCCTGCAATACGCTTGACAAGCTTCTCTGGAACAGGAATTTCATCACTTTCCTTAGGAGAATGTACCATATATTAATTTTTTTCAGGATGTTCCTGCGCTGATAATCCTAAAAGGGTTCAATACCAATGGACTTAATAATAAATCAATATTGAATTAAAAACACTTTTTTTTCCGTGGTATCGTGTTTCCGAACACAAAGGCGATCGGCCAATCCTCCTTCCAGGGGCGAAGAGAGGGTTCTCTACCTTCAACAAAGAAGTTAGCACTGCTCTTGTCATCAAAGGCATCACAGGTGTAGGTGTCCTCATCCTCGTAGTCGGCGTCGTTGATGATGAGTTTCCTGTAGACGCCTTCGCTCACAATCTCGTATTTGTCGCTGGGGCGAATTTCCACGTCCCGTTTGAACCACCGGACCTTGGCGTTGGCACGAGACACTTGGCACTCCAGGAACCCCCGGTGCTTCTCAAGGGCGATCTTGTCTCTCAGAGGTTTCACTATTTTTACAGGCAGCTCTAAAAAAAAAAAGGTTAAAAAACAAAAAAAAATGGAGTTATCGGCACAGTTTCCAATTAAAAACTCATTAGGAATATTTCTTTTGTGGGCAGTTATTTGACAGGGATGCCCAGTATGTTCAGCACTCAACTAACACACAGCAAGTAAAGAGGTGATTAAAGGGAAGCTTTTTCTCCCTATTTTACCACTTGAGTGGCTGAACTGCAGAGATAAAGGTAATTTCCTCGACACTACACAGCAGTGCTGTGGCAAAGCCAGGGACTGATCTCCTATTTACTGAGCTCCTGATCAGTGGGTTAATTCAAATGTCTTCCTTCTCTCTCCCTCTCTTCCCACATTGTTTTAGTTAAACACACACAAAAAATCATGTTTTCTATTATAACATACACAAGAAAGTGAAAATGTAGGAGAAAAGCAACAGCTTTTTGTCCCTTGAATTTCTCGCACAACTTTTAATGTCTAAAAGGTACAAAACCAGCCTTCTGAGAAAATTAACTCTTATTTAGCCAAAGTAAAATTCCCAGGCTGATATCTGATGGGCAGTAAGGTAGGCAGGAGTTTTTCCTTCCCTGGGAGCTGCAGGTGTTGTTTGGTTTTCTTCACGGGCAGGTTGGTTGGTTTGTAACGTGGGAGAGCACGAGCAGCACTGGCACGAAAATCGCGATTACCTTTCACGGTCAGCTGAGCGCGAGATTCTGCCTTTTCTGCCACAAATTTGATCTCTGCCGCATCCTCCACGTGGACACGGGCGTAGGTCAGCGAGTAGGTCTTCCCTGAATACAGACACACAACCAGACACTGCTCAGCTTCCCTGGAGCAAACAGCTTCACCCTCCAAGGAGGTCTGCCGGGCTGAGCATCCCCCATCTGGTCTGAGCCCAGCACCACCTGCTCTCACGGCTGCAGGGCCAACCATTCCCCCGTGTCCCTGTACCAGAGGATAACCCAAGCTCAACTCCTCCAAAGGCTGACTTAACATGACCCTCACATCATTGAGAAAGTGCTTGAAGCAGAAGAATCCCACCCACTGTCCGATGATATGAATTCTTACCCACTGTTGTCATTTGGGATGACACCAAACCTGCCTTGTTTAAATTCCCAACCATAACACTATCCCAGCACAGCTGCAGCCCAAAACCAAAGCAGGACCCTCTGTTGAACCTTATTAACCTGATTTTGGAGGTCACACCCTTTTTTCTAGTCTCCCATCCCAACACACCCCCACTCGAGGAGGAGATCCCTCTTTTCCCTCCTACCATCCTGTCGCATTTTGATGTTGTCTGAAGTCTTCAGCTTGTTGTCATTTTTGTACCACTGGGTTTCGACCTCATCATGTGAAATCTCACAGACAAAGGATGCACTCTCATATTCATTCACTTCCACATCTTCCAGTGGCTTTACAATCTTGATATCTCGGGCTGTGAAACCAAAGAGAGAAATATTTATTTGGGGTTTCTCCATACCTGAGGGTGGGGTGTTTACCTTCTGCATAACTGCATGTTAAAAAATGGGATTGTGTTTTGTTCTAGCCCAGCCTCCCTTCCTGGGGAGTTCTCACCTCAAGACAGTGAATATATTCTATGTTTGAACCAGCAGGTAGAATCACCAGCTACATTGGAGCTCACTGCAAAAGGATTTTGTGAGTGCTGGAACTTCATGCAGGTTTTAAAAGACATTAAACATACTAATGCAAGAAAATCTGCCAAGGAAAAACTAAACACAAGCCTTCATGTGCTCCTCTTCATGCCCTCCTGTTCTACCTAGGAAAAGCCTTTTCTGCAGAGTGTTCTGAACTCAGTATAATCCTCTTTAACTTTGCAGCTCGACACTCATTTTATCAGAACTGATCCGTGCTTCTGTGCTATTGCAGCCCTTTCCTTTTGAAAGGGAAGGCCTTGATACCCCTTGGATCAGCCTCAGGAGCAGAGAAATGCAAACAACAACCCTTCCCAACCACAAAATCAGGGAGAAAAGGGGGAGCTCAACAGAGCAAGGAAACAGGGCACACGTTTGAGAAGATATTGCTAAACCCAAACGGCCACATGAGGACAGCAGCTAGTAAGCAATAAGAAGGATGCTCTATCTTTCAGCAAGGTCTGTTTTTCAGATGTCCCTCTGGGAAATAACCTCTGCCAGGGCACAGTAAACCTGTCTGGTGAGTAACTTGCCCTCAGCACCAGCTTATCTCTGGTGTTTCAGAGCCTGGTGACCAAATACTCCTGGTGCTTGAGCAGCTACTTGGTGCATAAAGGAGAGGTGCAGGCAGAAAAAATATACATCTCTTTAGCATTTACAACCTAAAAATTAGGGCATCTCTTTAGCTCATACCCAAAGTTTGTCCAGTCCCTGTTCAGGCAAAGTCCCCCCATGACAATGGTAGAAATTAAACCAAACCACATCAGCACCAGCCATTGAATCCCTGCTTTGTGCCAGGCTGTCCAGGATTTGTTAATGTGTCAATCCAGAAACACCACTGAAATTCCAGAGAATAGAAATAACTAAAGATAATTGGAAAACTAAACATTTTTTTACTGGAATGATAGAGCAAGCACAGAAGAGCTCTGCCAGCACTTTCTCACTAGGAAGAGAAACTTAACCAAAATGGGCAATTGTGAAATACATAAACTGTCCACAAAGAATTTCTCACTGTGTGGCCAAAAATACTGCAGTAAATGTAATTTCCTACTTCAGCCAAACATACCATGAACCTTTAGAGTAGCTGATGTCTTGTCTTCAGCTGCTTGGCAGCTGTAGGTTCCCTGGTCTTCATATTCACACTTGTGAATAATGAGGCTTCTCTTATTTCCCTGGGAAACAAACCCCACGTTTTGACTTTGACGGATCTCCTTCCCATCCTAGAAGGGGAAAAGGCCAAACCAGATCACCATCAACTCTCGTACATCTGCAGTGAGCAAAACAGACATTCAGAGCTGTGCTTTGTTCACCTGCCTCGTTGGACTTAATGGAACATGCGGTGAAACATCAGCATGGCGAAAAGCTTTCAACAAGTTGGAGTGGCTGAAGAACTCACACAACTTTTTGATGGTCTCAGACACCTATTTGAAGGCTTAAAACACTGCACAGGGTTTGGCAGTAAGCCCCTTCAGACACAAATGATCTTAAACTAAAAGAGGGTAGGTCTAGACTAGATATAAGAAAGAAGTTTTTTACAATGAGGGTGGTGAGGCACCAGAGAGGTGGTGGATGTCCCATTCGTCAAGGTCAGGTTGAACAGGGCTCTGAGCAACCTGATCTGGCTGAACATGTCCCTGTTCATTGCAGGGGGGTTGAAACCAGGTGACCTTTAAGGATCCCTTCCAACCCAAACTGTTCTGTGATTCTATGATTATCTTGAAGAATTGCTGTTATCCCAAATTAAGGAAAGTATCAGCTGAGCCCAAGGAAGGTACATGAAATGCAAGAGCTGATCCACAAAATGTCAAGGGAAAGGGAACTGGACTTTCTCTGACAAAGGAAATTGAGGCTTCCCTTCAATCACAGTTCCAAAAGACCTTATAAATGCTGAGTGAGAACTGCTAGGCATGAAGAAAAGCACAAAACTACATTGTTATAACAGTAGCACTCACATTTTGTACAGGAATAAAGAAGTTTAACTTTAAAACCCAAAAAACACAGCCAGTAAATAAAAAACAGTGATAAAGTGGGAGAGTAAATCAACGTAAGGACAAGAGGGCAATGCCAAGAGCTGTATTGCCAAGGCTCAGATTCACATCCCCTGGAAGTCAAAATAAAGGCTCTCATTCCCTTCTAGAGAAGTAGGGAATTAAAATATCACTATCCATTAACACCGTACCTTGAACCACTTCACATTCACGTTGGGCCTGGACAGCTCACACTCAAATGTGGCCTTGAGTTTCTGAGTCACACTGACATCCACCAGAGGTTTGCTGATTCTCACAGGCAACTCTGAGAAAAAAAAAATAAAAAAACAACAAAGAGAAAGTCCAATGAGTGGGGAATGAGATTTACAGGAGGACGTCTGACACGAGCACTAATGGGTAGGCAAGGCCTGGCTTCCATGGTTAATAAAACCCGTGACAAACAGAATCATCACGTTTTGGGCACTTTATCACGTGTTATTCTGTGGACAGTGATGCTACAATAATGCTGATGATATAAGGATGGTGGTCCAGTGCTTAACACCCCTTGCAGTTACAAGGACGGCTGGTTGACCTCTTCGAGTTTGCTCTCCAGGTCAGGAGAAGAACAACTATGTCCACACCAAGCAGAGTCTGAGCCTTTTGGGTCAGTGTACCTGTCACAGTGAGTCTCCCTGATGAATTGATGCCTTCTGCCTTGAAGGAGATGACCCCTGCATCCTCAAGGGCCACCGAGGAAAGAGTCAGTGAGTGTTTCTTGCCCAGGACGCCAAAGCTGACGTTGGGTGCGGGTTTGAGCCGAACTCCGTCCCTCTGCCAGGTCCCTTCCACGTCCTCGTGTGACACCTCCACCTCGAAGGTGACAGTGCCTTTCTCAGCAACTTCCAGGGGCTGAAGGCCTTTCACCAGCTTGATCTGCCTCACTGGAAAACACCGTGGAAAAATTGGAGATCTCAGAACTGACTAGCTGTGAAATATCCCAAGGATTTCCAAAATGGGTTATTTCCCCATTCCCCATGCAGGTGCTTGCCAATTAATTGGTATCTGTCAATTAAACAACCACTTTTACAGGAAATAAAACCTGTCCACGACCACACATGGCTGCTATTTTTAAAATGGATGTTTTCAGCTGGTTGACAAGCAGGTCAACCAAATATCACAGAAAAAGGGCAATCTGGTCCCTTTCCTATCAAGGTCCACCAGGTTTAGTAAAAAAAAAAAAAACAACCAATAAAATTAATGCACTACAATATTGTGCAGTTCTCCAACTAGGATAAAACAATGGAAAGTAGCAGGGGGAGAGAAAAGCCTTTAGTAAAAGGAAAAAAAAATTTGTGACATGGTGCAAAGTGTGCTGACACCTCACAGCTTGGGGGGGGCAAAGCACCCGTGGTTTACCTGTTCTTATGACAAGACATCCATGTCCTATCAGCCAGTAAAATGGATTTAGTATTTAAACTTGTTTCACCACTAGAAGTAATTAAGTTACCAATTAAAAACAAAACAAAACAACCAACCAAACAAAAAAACAACAAACAAACAAACAAAACCAAACCACCAAAAACACCAATTAAAAAAAAAAAACTAAACCCCCAACCCAACCCTCTAAAAAGCCATGAATTATTCACAAGAACCTTCAATTCTCAAAGGGTCTCCTGGGAATATTTCAACCTTCCTAATGCATGTTTAGCAGAGATAATCCAATAATTTGTTTTTCTGACCCTGACTGAACATAAAGAGACATTCTGAAAGAGGTCACTTGCAGAGGAAAATTTAGACAATGAATGGCTGAAGAGGGAACGTTTTGCTAAAAGAAAACATACAAAGGGAAAACATAGAGGCCACTAGAGTGGGAAATTTCAGAGGAAAGAGAAGAATGGGTAAGAAGCTTGATGGTCAACAGAATGACTGAAAGCTGGTGGGATGAGATGCAGGCCGGAGCAGTCAGCCAGACATTCCCTGTTTGCTGCCCTTTCTTTCACCTCCACTTGGTCATTTGGCTGGTGGTCAAGCACATGGTTGTGTTCCTGCATCTCTATGATAATGGCAGAGACCAGAATCCACCTCCAAACCCTGTCCAGGGTATTTATAGAACTGGAGATCACTGAACTTACTTTCCACGTTGATCTTGGCTTGGGTCTTGTCATCAGGGCTCTCACAGCAGTAGAAGCCCCTGTCTGCAAAGGAGATGTCCTTCACCACCAAGGTGTGCTTTGTTCCCTCAGCTTTGATCTCTATCTTGTCACTGGGCTTCAGCACGATGCCGTTCCTCATCCACTTCACCTCTGCAGGTTTGGTCAGCTCCACCTCCAAGGTCACTGTCTCCCTCTCTTCAACTGTTTTGGGCTCCAGTTTCTTCTTGAACGAGATCGAGGCCTCTGCCAAAGGAGAAGAAATTTTAGTAAGAAAGTAGATAATCCAGAAAACAGGTTTTCAGAGGAAAATTAGGACGGTGGCTCATATATCTCCAATCCCAAAGTGTTCTGAGCATCCCTATTCAACGATGCAAAGGCAGAATTTCCCTACTACACATTATTATAAAATAATCATCATCATAGAATGGTTTGGGTTGGGAAGGATCATCTAGTTCCAACCCCGTGGGCAGGGCAGCCTGTAAAAAGGGGTATTACCACCTCTCACCTCGGACTCTGAGGTTGGCTGTGCTCTCCACACCCTCAGCACTGGCGCAGATTTCAGCTGCATCTTCCAGTGTCAGGTCAGTGATGGTGAGGCTGTGGTTGGTGTCCTTCTGGGAGATCACATACTTCTTGCTGGCTTCAATCTTGACGCCGTTCCTGAGCCAAGTGACCACGGCGTCGCTGGGAGAGACGGTGCACTTGAACACGGCCTCTTTTCCTTCCTCAGACACCACGCTGTTGAGGCTGGTGACGAATTTCACCACTCTGGGAGCTGATGGATAGGAATAAAACACTTAGAGCATGTCTTTCAGGTGTGGCATGAGCACCTTCAAAGAGCCAAAACCTTTGATTTTATTGGAATCATTACTATTTCACAGAATATGCTGGTTTGGAAGGAACCCACAAGGAGTACCCAGTCCAACTCCTGGTCTTGCACAGGACCGACCCCAAGAGTCACATCTCGTGCCCCAGAAGATCATCCAGAAGCTCCTTGAGTTCTGTCAGCCTTGGTGCTGTGCCCACTGCCCTGGGGAGCCTGTTCAGTGCCCAACCACCCTCTGGGGGAAGAACCTTTTCCTAATATCCAACCTAACTCTGCCCTGACCAGCTCCAGGCCATCCCCTCAGGTTCTGCCACTGGTCACCTTCATTACTCACTGTGAGTGCTCACAACAATGGGTCATCACTGGATGTTTCTCATGTCTGAGTAAGTTTTGTACATAAAGAGGCCAGAAGCCAGAGGCAAACAAAGAGGGGGGGGGAAACCCATCTTAGATTTGGGATACTGAATTCCAGCCTCAAATGCAACGTCAAGGTCAGTATTAAGAGACCCGAGCTCCACAGGTCTCAAAATCATTATGTTTTCCACAAACAGAGGTTCCAGTGACACTGAGAGGAAAAAGGAGGTTTGTATTTTGCTCTCAGCACATGAAACAACACAGACACACGAACAAACTCAGCTTTGCAGAGCTGTAATGGCTGAGGGTAGAACCCAAGGATCCCTCCAACACTGTCACCACTAGACACGTACCTTTGGGGGTGATGGCAACGCTGCTCTTGTCGTCTCTGGATTCACAGGAATACTCCCCCTCATCCTCAGCCCGGATCTCTGTTATCGTCAGGGTCCGTTTGACCCCCTCCTCGTGAACCTGGAAACGTTTGCCGGGCTTGATCTCGACTCCGTTCCTGCGCCAGGTCACCTTCCCCCGAGGGTGGCTCAGCTCACAGCTCAGGGAGACACTGCCCCCAATCTCAGCCTTGACAGCTTCCAGCTTCTTGGCGAACTTCACCGGGATTTCTGGGGCCCAGAAAAAGGGAGAGTGTTGAGAAAGGAAAATATATGAAACTTTGTTTGAAGTGACTGGTTCTGGACAACTTTGGAAACAAACAATCAAACGGACGAACTTGCCCTAGAAAATACTTGGGGATCAAAGACAGAAACAAATCAGGAAAAGTGGGAATTCAGTGAGATTCCTCTGACGTGGTATTTTCATATCACCATTGTTCTGTAAAGTAAGAGCAATGTCTTCAAACATGGTTGACTATTGCCTTCTTTTCTTTCTGTTACCTAATGAGACCATGTGGTGTTTTTACAGCAGACCCTGCTTTTCCTGACTAAATGCTAAAATCTGTATGGATACATAAGCCCCAGCCACCTTTGTCTCTTCTGTCACTGCAGACACAGCCAGTGGTGTTGGAGAAATCCAGGGTGTGATTTCTCTCATCCCAAAGAGACATTTCAAGAGGTTGGAAGCATCATGACCTATCAGCAACCTCCCCTCTGCAATGACTCCTCAGGGAGTTGAGGGAGTGCATCTCAGCTCCAGACATCTCCAAGGGGAAGTGTCTGAAGAGAGAGGAGCAGGACTGTGCTCTGGAACATCACTCCTCTCATCTCCATCTGTGGACCAGCTCTACTTCATCCTGCTTGCCAATTTACAGCCTTGAGTAGAGAACAACATCCCAGGTGCTCCATCCCATGAATTGAGGAGGATTCAGTTCAGGTCCTGTTTCCCTCTGTGACTAAATCACCAATTTTTTCCTCACACAACATCCCTCTACAGCCTCACCAGCTTTTCCTGTGAGCACAGAGGGGAAGAGCTGAGTCTCTGTCACGTCCCAGGGTTAAGAGGAGACAGAAAGAGAAGGGGAGTAGACATCAAGAAAAGCTTCCTTGTCCCCAACAGGCCAGCAAAGGACAAAAAGTGGGTATTTTGAAGCAGGAGATCCTTGCTGGCCCATGCTGGGGCATCCACAGAGGGTGCAACAAGCCTTGAGGTTGGAACAGCTTTAGGGATAGTTTGGGTTTCACCTCCATCCCACCATGAGAGAAGTGTCACTGTTGGGTCAGAGCACGACCCGTGCTCTGCTCTCTGCTCACCTTTCACCTGCACTTTGAACTCCTGCTTGTCATTCTTGGTCTGGCAGGTGTAGACAGCAGTGTCTGTGCTCTCAGCCAGGTTCACCACCAGGGTCCTGGACGCCCCCTCACTCTTGATCACACATTTCTTGCTCGCCTTGATTTCTGTCCCGTCCTTGAGCCACTTCACTGCAGCAGTTTCAGGTGTCACTGAGGTTGTCAGGGTGATACTCTCATGTTCTTGAACAATGAGGGGCTCTTTCTGGACAACTTTCTTTTCAAATTTAGCCTCTGGTTCTAGGAAAGACATTGAAACAGGAAAATTAAGAACTTAGATAATCGAACCCTTAACGCAGCAATATTCTATTGCTCTCTCTTCCTGACTCAACGCCAGCTCATCCACAGCCTGCAATAATCCAGGGAATATGGGTGAAGATTTGTGGCTGGTATTATCTTTTGCTGAGTGGGAAGAAACAAAATGATCTCTCAGGTAACTCAGAGTTTCTGCTTAGAGGAGAAGCAGGGAAAGGAAATGCAAACATATGTATTTTATCTGCTGCCCACAACAAGCTTCTTTCTAAGAAGTCCAATAACCTCTATAATTCATCCCTCTCACATCTTTAGGATTTTAAGTCAAGTTAATAAGGAATATTAATATGCTAAGCCTGAATTTATGGCCTGTTTTCTATTTGCTCAACTGGCAGGAGGGTTGGAACTAAAATGATCCTTGAGGTTCTTTCCAAGCCAAACCGTTCTGTGATTCCAGCACCTTACTCTTGGCCTCTTCTCTATCTTGTACAACACTTTGCCACAAAACTTGGCGGTTTTGGGGCACACGCCAAAAAAAAAATAAAAAGTCCAGATTTCCCCCCTCTGCACTGCTAGATTGAAAACTAATGTGCCCTGGGGGTTCACTGACGTTGCTCCAGGGGAGGTGGTGGCTGCACCACAGCTGCTGGGTAGGGAATACCCAGTTTTCCTCACAGGTTGGTGCTTAACACCACAAAGGGAGTACCCACCAGTTGGTTCCAGTTTGAATGTCATCTTCTGGCCCGCAGCCTCACAGATGTATTCCCCAGCATCCTTCTTCTCCAGCTGCTCTATAACCAGGCGCCGGGTTTTGCCCACGGTCTCTATTTTGAATTTTCTGGAGGAAACCAGAAGTTTTCCGTCCTTGAACCATTTCACTTCGGTTGCATCCTGTGCCACCTCGCACACGAGGGAGGCACTTTCTGTCAGCACAGCCTTCACCTCCTTCTGGACCTTTTCCTGGTTAATAAACGCAGGTTTGGGCTCTGGGCACAGAAAAAGAAGGAAATAATTGATTATTTATTGATTGAGGGACTAAAATGAGGTTGATCTTACAGACTTCTGTAGGTAGGTCTGGAAAATATTTGGGTTGTCACTCGCCAAACCCAACTGCTGTCACTAGGCAACATCAACCCTTCTGTGGGACTGAGCTGCCATGTGGAAATTGGGGATTAAGAGCCTAGGAATGGAAAGGACCAAAGCATCCTTGACATCAACCCTGTGTTTGCAAGTCACCATGAAAAAAAATATTTAATTCAAACATTCCCAAAAACACCTGTCCTGCATATCATCAAAACCTCCCAAATTCCTTTTACTTGAGATCTAGGACACAATAAATAACTCTGGGCTTCTGGAACAGACTCTTCATGGCCTCTTCCACTGCCAGAAACGTGACTGTCAAAGAGACAAAGGAAATATGATCTCTCTCCAGGGCTCAGGGGGGTCAGGATAGCAGTTGGCAAGGTCCCCAAGGTTGTTGCAACATCAAAACGTCCTTTAACACCACATGCTTAAAGTAGTTTGGGCACCTAGTGAATCCTGTTCCAAAAGACCAATTTCTTGGAATCTTTCACAGCAAAGGGGCATTTGTCACCTGGCAGAATTAGTAAGGCATCTCAAAAGGCTGAGATCTCAAGCACACAACCACCCAAATTCACCAGAAAAATTCTGTTTTCAACCCATCTTGAGACGTGCTGATGCTGAATATTCAAATGGAAAAATCTGTTCCAGCCTCTCAGTTTTCAGAAATGGGATTGGAAGTCTAATAAAAAGAGGATTTTTGAATGGTTCTCTCCTTTCAAGGGGGTCAATGCACAAAGAATTGCTCTCTGGGATCCCAGGCATGCAGGTTCATGAATATATGCTGAATATTACGTTAAATAATATGTTGATCATTATATTTATATCTGCAACTATTATTATGCAGCCCAATTAAAAATGAGATAGGTCTTTGTGCCATCTAAAGCCAAATATTCACATTTCTACAAATCCAGGCAATAAGGTGCAGAACATCAGGTGAACCCTGTGGGTTGCAACAAAACCCAGAGCACAGCAACCGAGTCAGGGTGGAACAGATATCACAGGTATTGCTTTATTGTCCTCTCCTGTCATCCAGAAAGGTATTTCTTACCTGTGACATCGATCCTGAAGGTGAGTTTCTGGCCAGCAGCCTCACAGCTGTACTCCCCAGCATCCTTCTTCTCCACCTGACCCACCACCAGACGGCGAGATTTGCCCTCGGACTCCACCTTGAACTTCTTGCTGGAGGTGATCAGCTTCCCATCCTTGTACCACTTCACCTCAGTCTTGTCCTGGGCCACCTCGCAGCTCAGCGTGACATCTTCTGATAGCACAGCTTTCACCTCTTTCTTCACTTTATCCTTGTTTGTAAACACAACTTCTGGCTCTGAAAAGAGAGAGAAGTTCAGTTTCTCCAAAATAAGCTGTTGCCCAGTCCCCTTGTCGTGGCTTACAAGCAACCCTGGAAAACAACCCCTGACTTGACAATGCACATCTAAAACTACTGGAAGAACACACAAGCCATTTTGTGGTGGGGATTTTATGTGGTTTTAGTCTGTTTTGGTTTTCTGAAATCCAGAAGATCCTCTGAAAGGTTCACAGAAGCATTGCATGGCAGGGTCCAGGCAGGACACATTTGAGTTGAAGTTGAGTGCAAAGTAACAAATTTTTAGAGGAAGGAGCTGTCCTGTGCTGCACCATAACCCCATATAATTGATTTCTTTGGTTCTCAGTAGCTGCTTCTGCTGCTGCTTGGATCATTTTGTTAAGAGAGAAAGGTGCTAGACCAGGACTGACATGTCCAGAACAGTGTTATTACTTCTCAGTGCAACCCTGAGGAAAAACCTCAGCTCATCTTACATCCAGTAGGTGAAATCCTCTTGTTCTCCACAAGACACATGTGTCATACCACTTGGAAGTGCTTCAGGAAGTTTTGAGGGAGTTGTAAAGCTGAATCCATTCTACCTCTCTACAGCCCCAGCAGGGAGATGTTTCTGGAATGAGTCTCCAAGACACCTTCTTTCCCCAGTTTGCCTTTTACCTGACACCTTAGAGGCTTCATATATATCAAGCCCTGCTGCCATATTGTCCCTTCAGGCTGAAACGAGCCCTTCCAAGTGAAATAAAACAGTGCACACACCCAACCACTCTCCACCATGACCCTGCACTGAGAACAAGCTGTGGTGCAGGTTTAATGTCATTGCACCAACGTGTGAGGAAGAAGAGGTACAATCTACTTTTCCTGCAGTGATGTGCAGCTTCCAAGGACCCCTGTTTTAAGGATTTCTAAGCTTTGACATAGAATATATGAAAGGTAACTGTATTTTTAACTTTTTGCCCCATTTCTACATCAGAGCTGGGCCATTCCAACGACGTCGGCCAAAAATTTGAAGCATAACACGAAAATGTTTTAAAAAATAATATTGATTTTTCTACATATTCTAGAAATAGGAATGATGGGGCTGAAGAGTCTTCTCGTACCTGTGACATCAATCTTGAAGGTGAGTTTCTGGCCAGCAGCCTCGCAGCTGTACTCCCCAGCATCCTTCTTCTCCACCTGACCCACCACCAGTCGACGAGATTTGCCCTCGGACTCCACCTTGAACTTCTTGTTGGAGGTGATCAGCTTCCCATCCTTGTACCACTTCACCTCAGTCTTGTCCTGGGCCACCTCACAGCTCAGAGTGGTGTCTTCCTTCAGCACTGCCTTCACCTCCCTTTGCACTTTGTCTCTGTGTTCAAACACGTCATCTGCAAGATTGGAAAGCAGGAAAAAAAAAGTAGGAAAAAGCCCATGAAAATGGAAGCTTCACCTCCAAGATCACGTGTTGTTGGGGTTCTGGTGAGACACCACCTGGTGCATCACAGCTTAAATAAATCAGTTGTGGAATGAAAAAAAGCTGAAAGAGTCAGAGTCAAGCAAATGCTCAACGAAGCACTGGCAGGAACAATTTACTTCCAGGCATCACATTTTCCAGCTGCTGCTCATTTGGGCAGCAAGAAGAACTTCCATGCCTGATCTTAAGGCTGGTACCAGCTTTCCTGCAGGCCCTCTGGAGGGTCCCTCTCTGCAGGCCAAGCAGGATGGGCTCTCCTGGGAAAGCAGGGTGTGTTTTGTTCACTTGAAGGGAAGTCTGGGCTGCACAGTCACAGTAAACAGGACAAACCCCAGGCAGGATCCTTCATTTGCCAGTGCAGACCTCATGGCTGGGCCCAAGTGATATTTAGGAAAAAACTGATAATAATATGAAACAAATGCATAACAGGTGGAGTACCTTCACAGACATTTATATAGAGCTGTATCCTTATGGAACAGTATCACTTCCCAGATATATTCTACAGAATTCATACTACTAATTGTACAAAATCACAATCATAAAGTAATTCAGGTTAGGAGTGATTTCTGGAGGCCACCCAGTCTCACTTCCCCTCTCAGAGCAGATGAAATTACACCAAGCTCTGCACAGTCATGTCCCACTGAGCCCTGAGTATCTCCAGCAATGGAGACCCCACAACCTCAAGGCTCCTGTTCCAGAGCTTGGCCACCCTCATGGTGCAAATTTTTCCTAATATCTTTTCAGAACCTCCCATACAAGTTCCAACTTGTATATTTTATCTCTCCTCCCATCACCCCGGATCTTTGAGAAGACACAGAGCTGTGGACTCCATATCCTCTTATTAAACAGATGCAGGCAGTAATTAAAGCTCCCTTTTGCTTACTCTTCTCATCTCTAGGCTGAAAAAATCCAGTTCTCTCAGCCTCTCCTCATATGACATGTGTTCCAGCCCCCTAATCATCTTGGTCTCCTCCAGTGGAGCTGTGCCAGGAGCATCTTGGATTTCCAGATGGAATGACTGCCAGATACTCCAATCAAACAGACACTGAATTAAGAACAGTAATTTGATTTTAGGCTTGGTTTTGGTAAGTTCCAAGGGCATAATTTTAGAAGCTGGACATGAGAAAGAACATTGGAGACAGGGATCCTAACATGATACAGTAAATAGAGGAATAAAAAAAAATCTCTGTAATAAACTTCTTTGGAACTACCAAACTTGCATGAATTATGAGAACTGATTCATGAAGAACAGAACAACAATTTATTCAATACTCAGTGTGGAACTTGCTACCTCCCCACTAAAATGCTCAGAATTTATATCTTACCCAGAAGAAGAACAGAAAAGAGAGGATTACTGAGGCCAGCAAAAAATATATATAATCCCCTGTATATATAAATCCTTTAAAAGACAGAGCACAAATAAGGAATGAAAAAAGGAGAACTCTGCTGGAAGGTTGTGTCTCTGGGGTTAGGAATTGACAGTGGTGCAAAAAGTGTGAGTTACAAGTTTCAGAGCACTTCCTGTGACACTGCTGAAGAGAACAAGCCAATGCTCCTGAAAAGTGTTGTCCTACGGGCCAATTTCTTCATTTTGGCTCTAACCCTCTCTAGGCAGATAGTTTCCCCTTCATTAAAGCAATGGATGTTACACTTCCCATCCCTGGAAGTGTTCAAGGACAGGTTGGACAAGGCTTGGAGCAACCTGGTCCAGTGGAAGGTGTCTCTGCCCATGGCAGGGGGTGGGATGAGATGATCTTGAAGGTCCCTTCCAACCCAAACCATTCTGGGATTCTATCACACAGAAGGAGGCTGAGTGAGGGACTCCTAGGCTCACATTTGTGCTCCATCCCAGGTAATTCTCTTCAGTGAGAGCTTTCAGTTGCTTGAATTTCCCTCAGGGTAATTTGTATTTTACACAAACTCATGTTGGTATTTCTGCTCAGCTGCATCTTCAGCCAGCAACAAGGGGATAACAAAGATTATCTGGGGTTAAAGCAAGAGATCAGAATGGATCAGAAGATCGATTTTCTATTTCTAGTTCCACAGCATTCTTCCTTAGCAGTCTTGAAGGAGAACCTAGACAAATCCCATCATTTCTGCCTCTACAGTGACCAGCAAATCTCTCAGTGGCAAGAGAGGGCCTTTTCTTCTCTACTTTCTGATATTTACCCATTTGCTAAATCTGAGAAACGGCCTCTCCTCAACAGCAATGGGCTTGGGCAGCAGTCACATATACTGGAACAAAGAGCTTTTCCTTCAAACACTGTGAGAAGATCCTTTGCTAATTTCTGCCTTTCACAGTTCGATTTATAAACCACTGCAACTTTTTTAAGAGTTTCTTCTATCAAATGCATTTCTTGCTTGAAATAAAATGGCAACCTCAGTCTTACCCTGTACTGTTCCTACAACCTGCATAGAGCTAGAGGGGAAAAAAAAAAAAGGTCACATAACTGAGCCATGGAATAAATATTACCACAGTTTTTCTGGCACGAGGGATAACGAGGCAGATTTGTCTCCAGTTTCCTTGCAGGGTCATCCCCCAGCAATGTATATCACAGAATGCAGACGTGGCAGAGCAAGCAGAGTGAAACCCAATAGTTTGTTCCTCAGCAAGGCCCACAGCTGGCAGTCACATGAGTCCCAGTGCTGTAACATCATGGGATACCTGGGAGCAGGCCAGCCCCAAACCACCTCCGGCGTGGAAGATACTTAAAATCACTCACAGCTAGGTCCAAAATAAAAGGTTCAGTGGTGTGATCAGGCCACCAGGCTGGGAAAATGCCAACACTTCTGAAAAGACATGGTTAGATTCCCGGGTTGGGCGAATCTCACGAGAAAAAGGACAAATCTTTGCACCAAATCCAATTGTGTTGCCCCACATCCCTGGGATGTGCTTTTAATTGATGTGCCTTTAATTGAATGCTTCTTTGAGGTTCTCTCGTGGTCCACAGTCAGAAAAGAAACATCTACAACAAATTTAGTTATTGTTCCCATGAAGCACTGTCAAGCAGGACAGAAGAAAGGAAGATGAGAAAAGAAGTACTGCGTGATTTTTTTCCACAAAAATAACTGGCAGCAAGGACAGAAATGGGTGCACTGATGATTCACCAGCACACACAGACTTCTGAATATTGATCTGAACTGACACTTGAACCTCTCTGTGTGGTGCAATTCCACATGAAGTCATGTTGGCAAAACTCAGCAAAGCCACATCTCTTGTACAGTTGTGACAGAAAAACTCTGTCCCAGCAGAGACAGAAACTACAAATTCTAAGAATGCAACTACAGACCCTTAAAGAGTGGAAGGATTGTGTTATGCTTGTCTTGTTGTCATGTCCTTTTTCCTTATCACCCTTCCTGGTCAAAATCAGGGAAAAGACTACTCGGCCTAAATGGGCTTTTTCCCAAAGCATCCAAACACATGCCCTTAATACTGATCTTTAAGAATAACCACTTAAGTTCTGCTGCAGACCCATACAGAGCAAGGCTTAAAGTTAACCTATGTCACTAGGAAACTTCACAGCTACAGCAAAAAAAAAAAGGTGCAATAAGGCAATCCCCTCACCTGCAACATGGATCTTGAAGGTGAGTTTCTGGCCAGCAGCCTCACAGCTGTACTCCCCAGCATCCTTCTGCTCCACCTGACCCACCACCAGACGACGAGATTTGCCCTCAGACTCCACCTTGAACTTCTTGCTGGAGGTGATCAGCTTCCCATCCTTGTACCACTTCACCTCAGTCTTGTCCTGGGCCACCTCGCAGCTCAGCGTGGCATCTTCTGATAGCACAGCTTTCACCTCTTTCTGCACCTTCTCCTTGTGGACAAAGGCATCTTCCACCTCTGAAATAGGGAAACAATTTAAAAATATACATAAGATGTAAATAACTTGTGGCAAGAAGATATTACATGTATTTGGTGTAGGTGCTCTGCAGGAACTTGGGCTTGGCAGCGCTGGGTTAACCACGGGACATGATGATCTCAAAGGACTTTTCCAATCTAAATAATTCTTTGATTCTATAATAATCTCTGGTAAGTAACATAGCTTTGCAGTTCTTTTTATCACATAAACCCCTCAAAAAACAGTCCATGTAGTTGTACCTCTCTGACTCATCTTCATGAACAGCTCGACCACTTCATTTTCAAATTTCTTGTAATGAAGACAAAGATAAAATTCCTCCATTGTGTCTTTATGATATTCCTACTCCCCATGTTTGGAACGAGCCAACTACAGCACAACTACAAGTTGTCACCTCCACTATCACATTACTTACAGGATTTTAACAGGTATTTTAGATTAAGACTGGGTGTTGTTCAGAAAATATCGTGTAACCCAATCCCAAAGAAATTACAAACACACAGTTCTCAATATGGAAAAATACTTGACCTACATAGCATATAAAACTGGCCTACAAAAGTTGAAGTATACTTTTATTTCCTAAAAAAAAAAAATCTCTGATTTTTCAGCAAACAGGCCATAGGGAATCTTGTTTTAATACTCAACAAAAGATACAAGAATCAAGGGTTTAAAATCACTTTCTTCCATGGCAGCACTTCGAATTTCCATCTCAACAAGTCCAGTTGGCATCAGAAGAATATCTTGTGTATTTACCAGTTAATTAGGTATATGCATTGATAAAATTCAAGTGTCACCTTACTAAGTAGCACTGACTGAGAAATTTAATCTTTTATTAATTAATGATTGTTTTGCCTGGTTCTCCTTTAACCAAAAACTGATGTGGTCACACCTTTAGCTTTTATATTACTGTACATTTGAGATGTGGAAGGAGAAATGGACCCTAAATAAATGAGCTGCTACATTTTTTCCCCACTGATTTTCCACAAGACATAACTGCACAAGAAGGGTAATGTATTTCTGGTGGGCCCACTTGATGGACATCACACAGCAAAGGCAGCCTATGACTGTTTGGGTTCCCAGGTTTTTACTGGAGCACTGAAGTCCATGATTGTACTGAACAGAAGCACCAGCTCCACAGGAAATGCTGGATTAGCAAGTGGATGGGTTCCCCAGTGCATTCCAGCTGCAGTGCAAACATGGAAGATAATGCATCCACCCAGACTGAGGTATTTGGGTCATCTGGTGAAGGTGACACTGAAAAAGAAACGTGCTGAGGGGCTGGACACAACGGAGCTGGGGAAGGGGCTGGAGTGCCAGGAGGGGTTGAGGGACCTGGGGGGACTCAATCTGGAGAAAAGAAGGCTCAGGGGGGACCTTCCTGCTCTGCGACTCCCTGACAGGAGGGGGGAGCTGGGGGGGGTCAGACTCTGCTCCCAAGTAATTATCAACAGGATGAGATGAAATGGCCTCAAGCTGTGCCAGTGGAGGTTGAGATTGGATATTAGGGAGAATTTCTTCCTGCAAAGGGTGGTCAGGCACTGGAAGGGGCTGCCCAGGGCAGTGGTGGAGTCACCACCCCTGGAGGTGTCCAAGGAAGGGCTGGACGTGGCACTCAGTGCTCTGGGCTGGGGGACAAGGTGGGGATTGGTCACAGGTAGGACTTAATGACCTTGGAGGTCTTTCCCAGCCTCAATGATTCTGTGACCTTAAAGGCTCGTGGTTCTCCCTGGCAGTCATGGTGAGCCCCTTCCATAACCTGTGTCCCTCCCTTCCTCTCCCAGTCACTCTCTGCAGCCTCCCAGGGCCATCCTTTACTCCTCCTTGCTGACTTTCTCCTCTTCATCCCATCTCATCATGTCTGTGTTCTGAGTGGCAGCAGCTGCCTGGGAGGGTGAGGAGAAGGGGTAAGCTCAGGTCAAGATCCTACACTGCTGACTGTGTCACTACCCACCATCCTGGAGCCACATCACAGCCTTGCTATGAACATTGCACAGCCCATGGAAAGAGAGATATCCTGCAGGGAGCAAACCAGAGCAGGAATTCGGCTTATAGGCTTTAAACTTGAGCTCCTCTGTTGATATTGGCTGGGGCAGGGGTGTAAGGAGGTGTCATTGCCATTTAGAAGGCACGTGGCCTATGCTGAGTGATGCAAAACTCTCAAAGGCACGTGGCAGCAGCATTTTGGTATCTAAAAGAGCTCAACCACACACCAGGGCTTGCATTCAAAACTGGTTCAAAAATTATAAAGATTTAATGTCCATTTACAACTTGGATTTGGAATGTGCAGGGTGCACTAAATGAGTTACAGACCAGTCTGTGTCCATGGGTGCTGTGTTTAAAGTGTCAACTTAGCAGGGAAGGAACATTCCTGCTCCATCTCACTTGTCCTCTTCACTCCTGAGCTTCAATATAAACCATTTTTATAGTGATTAGGAAATGGGACTAAAATGGTAATTTGCCTTATAAATTTATTTTAAACCTAAGCAAGTTTATTCAGATGACATTTCCAACCTCAGCCGAAACTGGTTAGGGAAGTTTCAGTGGAACTGAGGAAAACCATTTTCATCACATGGAGCTTTCTCCATTTTAAAATATGGATTTCTCTACATACCATGAATCTTGAAATAATAAGATTTCAGAATCAGCTCTTTTTCTACATGTCCAACCCAGTCCCAAGGTGTGCAGTACCCCTTTCTTTTTATATCAATGCAAAAAAGCCACAGCTGCATCCCAAAACTCAACACTGAGGGTCTAACCTTCAACCTGCCCTTAAGCAGGGCAGGCTTTGTGCTCCCAGTGGAGCCCTGAGGTACAGGAACCCTCTGAAAAGCTTTCCAAGTGCAAGGGTAACGGGATAAATTAAGACCCAGAAAGCCGCCGGACTTCGGGATAACGGAGTAAGAGACGGGTTTCTGCCGCAAAAGATCCAACCACCCAGAGTACTCATAATCCCTCCTGACTTTCACACTGGATCGTTTTCCAGCCAGGGCTGGACCGGGATGTCATGTTACAGTTGTTCCCATGAGGAATACAGCAACGGTAGCCAGGCAATCTCTCCCCTTACAGCACAGGGGGAGGGTGTTGTGTTACCCTGCGCCGCCAGGAAGTCATCCGGTCTGAGGGGGCTGAAAACCTCTGGGTTCTGAGGCAGACAGCTAAGAACAGCCCTCAGAGACAGAAATTCCAGTGGAAAAGCACTAAATTTCTGTGTTTTCTATCTGTACCTCTGCAGGAATTTATGAACCAGTTTAAACAGCTGATCATGTACTTGGTTTATACAAATTTTGCCCAGAGAAGCTGTGGCTGCCCCATCCCTGGAATTGTTCAAGGTTACATTGGACAGGGCTTGGAGCAACCCTGGGATAGTGGAAGGTGTCCCTACCCATGGCAGGGGGGGTTGGAACTAGGTTATCTTTAGGGTTCCTTCCAACCCAAACCATTCTAGATTTCTTTGATGATCTTTCCATCACTGCTCATGCTGAATTTTCTCTGGAAGGTACCTCTCAATTCTATCCTTACTGTAACTCATCCTTCACTGAAACTGGCAGCTCTCTCAGGGAAAAGGATGAGCTACAGAATTCATGGCAAAGAGCCAAAGTGCCCCTGTCCACACCCTGGGTACCCCACAGAGGGTGGAGTCAACAGACTCCCAACACAGTTCCTCTTCTACACAGCTGATAAAATGCCAAACCCCTGCCAGACTGTGGTCCCAGGGGGTTTGGTGCTGTAAGAAAGCAGAGGAGAAAAATAGATTCACTGTTCTGATCATCTCTGAGACTAGAATTGTAGTGTTAACAAAGAGGGATTTGGCTGTAAAGACAGTGGAGTGTTATTAATATTAAATAAAAATTAAAAAAAAAAAATCAAACTCTTTCTTATCATCCAATTCAGAAATAATCACTCAGAATGGTGCTGATTCCATGGCTAACTAGAGCCTGAGATAAAATTTACCAGACCTCCTGCAAAATATACTGATACCAAAGAAATCCTAGAATCATTTAGGCATGGAAGATCATCAAATCCAACCATTAACACTGTGCTGGCAGGTCCATCACTACACCATGTCCCCAAGGGCCACATCTACAGGGCTTTTAAATCCCTCCAGGGGTGGTGACCCCACCACTGCCCTGGGCAGCCTGTTCCAATACCTGACAACCCTTTTGGTGAAGTATTTTCCCCTATTATCCAATCTAAACCTCCCCTGGAGCAACTTAAAGCCATTTGCTCTTGTCCTCTCACTTGCAATAAAAGAGGAAAGAGTGACTTTCATAGAAGAATATCCATAACAGGAGGAGAAATACCAGCAATGATGATCAGATTGGAAGAGGTCCTTTAACACAGTGCCTGCTGATGAAAAGTCTCTTCACTTCATCTCAGCCTGAGGACACACACAGGGAGCTGAGGAGGTGATATCAGGATACAGCATCAAAGAATCACAGAATCCTTAGGGTTGGAAGGAATCTCTGGAGACCATCCAGTCCAACCCCCTTGCCAAGGCAGTGTCACCTAGAGCAGGTGACACAGGAACATGTCCAGGTGGGTTTGGAATGTCCTCAGGGAAGGAAACTCCACACTCTCCCCTGGGGAGCTGTTCCAGTGCTCTGCCCCTCTCAATGCAAAGAATTTCTTCCTCAAGTGGAAGTGAAACTTCCTGTGTTTTAGTTAATGGCCATTGCTCCTCCTCCTGTTGCTGGGCACCACCAAAAAGACTGGCACCATCCTCTTGGCACCCACCTTGGGGATATTTATCTGCATTAATGAGATCCCCTCTCAGTCCTCTCTTCTCCAGACCAACCAGGCCCAGCTCCCGCAGTCTCTCCTCATAGGAGAGATGCTCCAGACCCCTCATCATCTTTGTGCCCCACACTGGACCCTCTCCAGTAGCTCCTTGTCATTCTTGTACTAAGGAGCCCAAAACTACTAGTACCTACAGGTAAACTCTTGATCTGCCCAGTTCTTCACTCAGATTCAAAGAAAATCCAATTAAATAAAAAAACAAAATACGTCTCCCACCTGTGACATGGATCTTGAAGGTGAGTTTCTGGCCAGCAGCCTCGCAGTTGTACTCCCCAGCATCCTTCTTCTCCACCTGACCCACCACCAGACGGCGAGATTTGCCCTCAGACTCCACCTTGAACTTCTTGCTGGAGGTGATCAGCTTCCCATCCTTGTACCACTTCACCTCAGTCTTGTCCTGGGCCACCTCGCAGCTCAG